GCACATAAAGATCACACACTTGGGGCCCAAGTTAGCAGCTCCTGTTAATCCTATTGATTTCATTGGGATTTACTACCAAATAAGTGTTCATAATATTACTGCAGTCTTTGGATTGCATCCAGTTAATCTCTTCTCAGAGCAGACCTGTTTGAATTTGTAGACCGATATTAGTCATGCCTATTCAGAGGCAGTAAACAATGGCATGGTGGGGTTATACTGCCCTCTCATGCCTGAAGGCAGGAGATGCAGTAAGATCTTTGTCAGTAGCCATCAGCCAACGCCTTAGTCCATTTCTTGTCTTGGCCCAGAGTGGCTGTGTGTTCTTAATCCTCCCAGCAGTCCACAATCAGAATTGTTAATGGTTATTTGTGCCTCCTTATGTTAGTCAGTGTCAGAGTATATTACATGATTAGTCACATGATAATAGACTGGAGTGACAGCTCTCTCTGACGTTGAGTGGTAGACTCCAGTTGCTGATTTTTGACAGGGGAAGCTGGGAGGATCAACACAGCTAATATATTGCAAAGCAAGAGAATAAAATGTGCATCTTGGAAAGGTCTACGGGTAACACACACTCCTCATTCTACACTCTGCTTCTTTGAGTTCTGGAGCCAAAAAGGGTTTAAAAGGATCTGAAATCACATTGGTATCAGATGACTTTTCATGAGCTAACACCCTTTTACGACTTGAAACCTGCCGTCTAGGCACTGCATGAGGATCTGAAGCGACACTGGCAACCTAATTATGAATTGCTTCATGAATTTCCATAAGGATGTAAAGGTTTTCCATGGAAGTGACCCTGCAATATTTCCATAAAGCAGTGCACTCAACACACAAGCTTGTTATTCCTTCATATTGGTATTGGTCGTTAGCATCACATACTCCCAGACCCTTTTGGAGAAGTGAGCCATTGCCAGAGCTGCCTTGCCAATACACTTGTCCAGCTCAGCATCAATGGAGAGGTTTCTGGTTATGGTGGAGCCCAGGTAGACAAAATTGTCTACCACCTCAAGCGTGTGATCACCAAAGCTGATGCATGGAGTGCTGGCAATGTTCCTGACCCAAGATGTTGGCCTTGGGTCAGGCTGATGGTGAGGAAGCACTTGCAAAGCCTTCCTAGATCATTGTAGATGCTCCGAAGCTGGGAAACGCCTGCGTTTTTGTGGATCCCATGAAGCATATATTATTTCACTCAGTACTTACCAGAATCTCCAGAAAAACTTGGGTGGGCTTCTGAAAGGCATGAGACTATTAATCTCAAGGTTGTGGGTTCAAGTCTCATATTAGGCAAAAGATTATTGCGTTGCAGGGAGTTGAACTAGATGACGCTTGTGATTCTTTCCAACGCTACAATTCTATGATTCTAAGTGTTTATCAAACTCACTTTTTAGTTTTTTTGCCAGGACTGATTACTTACCTCTTGGTTCTGGCCTTCATCGGCAAGCAGTGTGCATGTGCCCAACTGGTATAGCCGGCTTATATTTTCACTAGAAATTTGAAATTACAGTGGTACCCCGCAAGACGAACGCCTCGCAAGACGGAAAACCCGCTAGACGAAAGGGTTTTCCGTTTGCGAGTTGCTTCGCAAGACGATTTTCCCTATGGGCTTGCTTCGCAAGACGAAAGCCCATAGGGAAATCTCCGGGACAGCGGGGAAGCGCAGCGTGTCTTCCCCACTGTCCTCGGACCTCCTCCCGCCGCCCGCCATCGGAACGAAGCTCCGATGCCGGGCGGGGGGCGGAAACGCGTTCTCCCGCCGCCCGCCATCAGAACGAAGCTCCGATGCCGGGCGGGGGGGCGGGAACGCGTTCTCCCGCCGCCCGCCATCGGAACGAAGCTCCGATGCCGGGCGGGGGGGCGGGAACGCGTTCTCCCGCCGCCCGCCATCGGAACGAAGCTCCGATGCCGGGCGGGGGGGGCGGGAACGGGTTCTCCCGCCGCCCGCCATCAGAACGAAGCTCCGATGCCGGGCGGGGGGGCGGGGACACCTCCTCCCGCCGCCCGGCTTCGGATGGCTTTCCTGAAGACTTGGGGTGGGAGGAGGGTTTTCCTTCCCACCGCCAACATTCAGAATGCTGTTCTGAATGTTGGCGGTGGGGAGGAAAAACCCTCCTCCCACGCAAGCCCCGGGAACAGAGGGAAAGCGCTGCGCGCCTTCCCCTCTGTTCCCGTACCTGTCCTGAAGGCTTGCGGTGGGGAGAAAAGCCCTTCTCCGCACCGCCAGCCTGGCAAGCGGTTTCCCTAGGAACGAATTAATTGATTTTCAATGCATTCCTATGGGAAACCGTGCTTCGCAAGACGAAAAACTCGCAAGAAGAATAAACTTGCGGAACGAATTAATTTCGTCTTGCGAGGCACCACTGTATCTAGGTGACCTTACAATGCAGTTAGTGTGTTTTCTAGCAATGTAGCCAACTATTTATCAAACTCCATGCCTCTTTGGCAGGGATGTGAAGGCTTAGTGTTGATTGCAAAGGGGTGGATCTCTTCCATGGGGTCCACAAAGTTTTTCCTTAATGTGGAAGGATGGCTCATTGTCAAAATTGTGCCTTAGGCAGCCTTACTGGAGAAGTACAGTCAAGGCAGACTAGGTTGCAGAACAGGCACTTAGGACAGCATGTCTAGATGCCCTGGAAGAAGCCATGGTGCAGTCATCGCCAAGTCGGTTATTTCCAATAACCATGACAAACTTGGCCAGAGTACAACAATTGTACCACTATATTGCGTACTTCCTACATCCTTTTGCACCATCAGTGCCAGAAAGGCACACTTGAAACCTATGGTGAGTGCAGAGCAGTGGTCGAGAATGGTGCCTTCTATTACTTGCAGTTTTCCAAATCTTTTTTTGGATGCTCATATGATGAGTTGCTGCCATCTGGTGGTGGGAGGATATTGTATGAGTAATCCTTGCAGCAGTGAAATGCTAAAACATGCCGAAAACAGATCTAACATATTAAGTGTAGTGCAAGTGGTTTGAGCAGACATTTGTTGCTCTGAACACGCTCTGGAATGTATGTTCAAACTGCATCCACCACGATTACAATGCTTTGTCCATATTCACCCAGAAAGGAAATGAGAAAAATCAGACATAAAATGACACATCAGAAGCTTGTCATTCATGGACCTCCTGCTCCAGGGCTGATACACACTTTATTTTCTTCCTGTGTCACAGGCCTGTAACCACAGGGAGGCATTGTGGGGCAAAACCCGTCCTGGATTAGACTGGCCACAGTAGGTCACCCAGTCTCTTTAACCACCACCTTGACATTTATGGGGTAATCTGGGGTAACAACTGCCCCAACCCCATTAGAAGACTAGACTGGAGATCCTTCAGCTACCCTACATTAATTCACTTTGCAATATATTTTCTGTTTCTCATATTTTCATCGTTTCCCAAGACTAAAGGAAACATTACCTGATCCTAAGCATGTTTACTTGGAAGTTATCTCACTATATTCATAGGTTTGCAGCCTAAGGGTTAGAACTAAATATTTTATTTTAGTTACAGATAGGTAGCCGTGTTGGTCTGCCATAGTCAAAACAAAAAAAATTCCTTCCAGTAGCACCTTAAAGACCAACTAAGTTAGTTCTTGGTATGAGCTTTCGTGTGCATGCACACTTCTTCAGATACACACAGATATTTTATTTTATACACTGAAGTTGCTATGACTGTAATTTTGAAGGAAAGTCTAGAACCATGAGCTCATCTTTTTGCCCAGAGGAGGACGTGATCAGGAAAATGGTGCAGGAAGAAAGCGTTGACAAGCTTCTGTCCGCCATGTTGCGGTTTCCTTCCAAACTGTAGCCAGAGCAATTGCATTGTGCAGGCAGAGGTAGGGACCAGGGAGATAGAAAGCTGCCTTATACTGGTCCATTTAGCTCAGTAATGGCAACAATGAACAGCAGCCCCTCTTGAGGATTTCAGGCAGGAATTTCCCCCAGTCCTGCTTAGCAGTGCTGGGACTGAACTTGGTACCTCCTGCAGATGCCCCATCACAGAGCTGTAGCCTTCACAGCACTAAGGCCAGAGTTGCACCTCTGCCTGCTCTAGGCGATTATAAAAGGTAAAGGTACCCCTGACCATTAGGTCCAGTCGTGACCAACTCTGGGGTTGCAGTGCTCATCTAGCTCTATAGGCCGAGGGAGCTGGCGTTTGTCCGCAGACAGCTTCCGGGTCATGTGGCCAGCATGACTAAGCCGTTTCTGGCGAACCAGAGCAGCGCACGGAAACGCCGTTTCACCTTCCCGCCGGAGCGTTACCTAATTATCTACTTGCACTTTGATGTGCTTTCGAACTGCTAGGTTGGCAGGAGCAGGGACCGAGCAACGAGAGCTCACCCCGTTGCAGGGATTCGAACTGCCAACCTTCTGATCGGCAAGCCCTAGGCTCTGTGGTTTAACCCACAGCGCCACCCGCGTCCCTCTTGGCGATTAAGCTCTGCTTGCAAAAAGGCAGCAGGCAGAGGCTCCCCTTCCTCTTTGCTGTTGTGCTTAGATAGGCGATAACATCTTTCTGTACTTAACTGCATATGAACTTCAGGTGACTGGCAGGTGGGTGTGGTTTGCCCCAAATGGCCTTGTGGGCCAAATTCAGAGGCCTGGTGGACCTGATAAAGCCCACAGGCTGTTAAAAGACATTTGTCACAAACACACGCAGCCCTGTGGAACAGCTGTGGCCTTATCATTGCAACACCTGAACTACCTTAGTCTGCATTCCGGAGCATATTTCCTGTGTTTAAGAATCTTCATCTTTTGTGGCTCTGCAGTTCTGTTCTTCCCATGAACATATGATTGATACTCTTAAACAAAACTGTTGCAATTAAAGGATTTACATGGAAGGTAAGCAGAGCGTAATTCTGCGTGCAGATGAAAATTCCATTATTAAACTGTTAAGCAGCAATTTCTGGCCTAGGCTAGTACCTAGTAATGTAAATATAATACTAATGTAAAATAGCCTGATATTGATATCAAATTAAATATTTTCTTTTCCTTTTTTTCAGAGCTACTTGAAAGAAATTTTAAGAGAAATAGGCATCTACAACGTTAAGGGAACACACAAAAACACGTGGGAACTTAAGCCAGAATACAGGCATTACCAAGGAGAAGATAAGAGCGATTAGCGTAATTGTTAAGCCAGGAAGAAAGTTGTCAATTGTGGGAGCTGGAAGTTACTGAACTGTTCACCCTTAAAATGCTAAGTGTTGATAATTTTTAAGAAGTCTAGCTTCATTAAAAAAAAGATTCTGCAAGAAACATGTTTTGGTTCTGCAAACATATTATTTAAAGAATAAACATGCATTAGGTTTCTTTGTAATAATTGGCCTTTTATCATTTTTATTTTTTTACATTTTGTAAAAATATAATGATGTTAGTAAGGACTGGTATTATTTATTGCAGAGATGTGTTTATTTCATTACTAAAATTCTGTATGGTCCTGACCATATTATGGGTTGCTGTCCAACTTTTTGAATTATGCCTTATTAAGAAATAGAAGTGGAACATAGTTTGAATAGCTCCTGAAATGATGGGAAGAGGAAATTAATACAACACGAAAGCATTTAAATACAGTAAGTAAAAATGACTTCTTTGTATTAAAATTATTTTGTTTCTGTATTAATAAAAGCAGTTTCTAATTTGTACAAACACAAAATGCTTCCTCTTCTGCTTTTAGATTTAAAACGTTCAGGGTGGCTTTATGCCAGAAGGGTCAGCTGATCAGTATTCTACATGACCAGCCATTCTAGAAATTAGGAAGCATTACTCAGTTCCTGAGTTCATATATTTGTTCAAGTTCTGTGGGACCTTCAAAATCCTGCGCTTTTTCAGTAGTGCCAACATTCTTTTTACAAAAATTAGGAGCCAATCAGACCTTCCTTAAGAACCAGTTTAGGAGGTAAAAGATCTGACTGAGCAGATAAGCAGAGGGATTTTTCACTTAATTAATTTTCTTTGAGCAGCTGCAGATTAAAACTATAGAAGGAAGAGTTGGAGGGCAACTGACTCCTGTTCGTAACAGTGTCCGACAGCAAGGGAAGAAGCCACGTATGTGCCTTCTTCAGTAACCTGGGACAAGAGACCAGTGCACTTTTTAATCTTTATCCTGGGTCACAGTACCCTACCTTGCATAAATCAGCTGAAGTTAGCCATGCTGTTAAGCTAAATTTGATTGCCAGATGTATTTACACACCAAGGTGCTGTTACAAACATGTCCACAGTGCCGTCGTGGCTCAGGCTTTTGGAGAGACAGGTTAAAAAGCTTGCGCTTATCTTCATAGTCTACTGTTCTACCTGCAATCAAAGTTGTTAGTGTATGTAGACTTTTGAAATTTGGTCAGCTGCCTTGAATATCTTTTGTAGAAAAGCTGCTTTGAGCACCTGCTACCTTGGGGAACTGAATTGTTTAGGGTTACTGCAAAAAACTAAAGATGGTGGCAACTGAAGCAGTATGCAGAGGCTCATAGATGTGGATAACAAATATGAATCAACTGCAAAAATGGCAAAAGGGAAGAGGGAAAAGAAATTGAGAGCCCCGGCCAAGGCTGTATCTGAAATACTAAGATTAAGGTCACTGTTCAGGTGGAGTCTGGAGTAGCTTCAATGAAAGGCTGATTTCTGTAACAGTAGTTTCTGTCCACCCCACACACCATGGGCCTCAGAACAAACTTTTTTCACACGAACCAAAGGTGTTGGATGAAGAGTGGTATAGATATGTAATAACTAAAAGAAAAATACTTTAGCAGGCCATTGCTACATCTAGTTTAATTCTGTCATTTCTGCTTGCATGCAAAACGTCTGCACTTTTGCTGTGCGTTTTTGGTTACACTCTGTGTAAATTACGTTACCATCAGAGCTAAAGGTGCTTCTGGTTTTGTAGCCAGAATATGATGGCAGGATGATTTTAACAACGGTTGAATTTTTTTTAGCCTATCCAGTGCACAAATGCAGCAGACTTTGGGCTAAGAGGACAAACATATTGCACCTCTGCACTGCCCCCTTCTCTTGTAGATCATCCAAATTCTGTAGACTTAACACAAAAATGAGTTACTGGCAGACATAAGTGATGTTCCTTTTCATTTTGTATTAACTGATCGATCTTCAGTCTACAGGCAGCGGCTCCCCCCCCCCCCCCGCTGAATCCTTCTCATGAACTGCTCTAGTATCAGTCTGCAGGAAAGCTTTTATTATGAAAACTAGGGCTGAGCAGTAAAGGTAAAGGGACCCCTGATCATTAGGTCCAGTCATGGCCGACTCTGGGGTTGTGGCACTCATCTCGCTTTACTGGCCGAGGGAGCCGGCGTACAGCTTCCGGGTCATGTGGCCAGCATGACTGAGCCGCTTCTGGCGAACCAGAGCAGCGCACGGAAATGCCCTTTACTTTCCCGCTGGAGCGGTACCTATTTATCTACTTGCCCTTTGACGTGCTTTCGAACTGCTAGGTTGGCAGGATCAGGGACTGAGCAACGGCAGCGGACCCCGTTGCGGGGATTCAAACCGCTGACCCTCCGATCAGCAAGCCCTAGGCTCTGTGGTTTAACCCACAGCGCCACCCGTGTCCAGGGCTGAGCAGAGATTGATGTAATTTGCAACAAATAACACATACCACAAACTAGTATGGTAGCAGAGTTTGCTTTTTTGTTGCACCACTCTGGCAAGGTTATCTTTTTTGTTGCTTCACTCTGGCAAGGTTATCTTTCAACACAGCTGGAAATAAGAAAATAATCACACAACCCAGAACAAGAATTTAAACATTCACTTACATTTTGAACTAAACTACCTGAAACTTGTTAACTTGTTAATAAGGGGGAGAAAGCCATTTCCTGCAATATGGTTGGGGTTGCCCACAGGATGTTCATATAAATTTCTGGAAAACGTGTGGCGTATCTGCCATCCCTTCCCCAAGCTAGAGCAGCCAAGGCCAGAGTCAAATAAGCCCATACTAAACTCCCCTTCCAAGATGAGCAGCTTCCAGCTTTCCACAGCAATGTGCATATTGAAGCAAACTGTGACTCCTACCTGCACCACTGCTCATTTTAGGCCATGTGTGGGAAACATGGATATTTGGGAAGAACATTGTGGAGAAATTATTATACTTCAATTAACAGCCCAAAAAACTTGTGCTATTGCAAAGTTCCCCTCTCACAGCCAATTCTCACATGTCAAGACAGCTAAATTCAGAATTAAGTTGGATCCTGGGTGCACTAAATGGGTAAATTTTGTACTTTGGGCCTTATGAGACATGAATGTGTCATTAGTAAAGTGCACGGGTTCCTGAAATTTTTCAAGGTAGCAAATATATATATATATATATGATGATGATGATGAACAGCTAGTTCTATGTGGCCCTCTACTGCATTAGCACAGGCAATATAGGAAAGTTTCAGATTCAGGGGTACAAAAAAGAAACTACAAAGTTTTGCCTGTCAAATATACCAATACTTTGGCACTCTTTTTAATACACTAATTTTGTTCATTTTGGGATTATACCAGCCTATAAGAGAAACTTCGATGGTGGAAAACCTTTTCCAGCTCCTATCCGCTACAAGCTATCCTCTGGAGTGAAGTGGAGCTTCACTCATGGAACAAAACTAGTGCCTTCTCCCCCCCCCCCAAATGCCCTGGAGGCTCCCCTCAACCTTCCAGAACAGATTTTGAGGTTACATGAAGCTGCACGCAAGCATAGTGGGCCAGTAACTGAATTCTGTGCAGAGAAATCAATTGGGGGGGGGGGCAGAGACATCCTTTTAGGGATCAGTTTCTCAAAATCAAGTTAAACATGATGGGGGGGGAATGAATCACTCCACACTGCCTGACAAAACTCTGCTTGCTTCAGCAGATAATTGGTCAAATTTTGTTTTGATGTAAAAGTAGTATCAGTGATACATCAACAAAAATAGACCACAAGCTGTACACAGTATCTGCAACCCCTTTTCTATTCCCCCCCAAAAACCAATGATTTTGCTCTGAGCAGCAAGCATTCTGGTGTTACACTTTTTTTTTTCATTCACAGGATGAAGCTGCTAGATGGGAAACAGGGATAGAACAAGCATTGAAGCATCAAAGGGGAACCAAAATGAAAAACTTAAAAAGGATAACAAAACTGTACTACTAAACCATAACACACATGCAAGACTATGTAGAAGTCTCAGGAATACACAGCCTAAGTTTCTTAATACACTCTTGATACACAGCACAGCAAGCGGTCAATTAGCTGCTTGGCTACTTCCTCTACATGCCAGGTTTCCGATCTTTTCGGAAACAAGGATCCAAAACTGCTCTAGGCTCACAGTGCCAACCAGGGAGATTCCCATACTACTGCTATCAGTATTTGTAGCATGCCAAGTCTCTCAAAGAATCTTCCTGTTCTTTTGTCTATTAGGATGCAAACCAACAATCTTTATGGCTTCTACTACCAGTATAAATTTGTAGCAAATTTTGTAGCTTTTGCCATTTTGAGATCATAGCAGCCCTCCTGATTTAAAAACCATGTTGCATTTGCTTGGCTTTGACACGCTTCTTTAACCTTGCTCCAAGTGCAAAGTCCACTTCGTATTATGCTTTGAACAATGTCATGTCAGGGGAGCAGAAAGTGGAACGATGGGAAAGGCACAGAGCTCTCATTTTTGCATCCTATGGGAACCAATTTACTTTATCATGGCCTGTCAGGCAAACGTCTCCTGGGACAGCCCATAAAATATACTTCAGGACTTTGCAAACATCAGCAAAAACAGTATGATGCACATGTTGTCTACACTAATTCTTTGGACTAGTGCTTAAGTTTGCCATTACCACCACAACTAACCAATTTAGGCTTTGATAAACCACAAAGATTATTAGTGTCCTGTGATTAAACCAGTATTACTTTTCCATTTTAAGTTATAATTACTTTGAACTACAGCCTCTTGTGTGCAGAATCCCTGCCTAAAATGCTTGTTTCTGCCACCAAAGATTGCTGTTCCATTGCTTCTGCCTTAGTCATAATTTGCCATGATAAACTGATGAAATCCATCTCTCCTTGACTGGTTCAGAACTCTAATCAGCAGTCTGTATTCAAGTCTTCCAATTCTGTCCTCCAGCTAGCTATTGTGGTTTGTTGAACATCAAGAAACTCGGTCCATTTCAGAATAAAAGCTTTCTTCTCTACTAATCATTTTCAGGTGTTTAGAAGCAAGTCAGTTGTAGCCGGCTGATCTTCCAGTTCTAGGTCACCAGTATCGGACGACAGTCTGACACATGCATTAGGCCAGGCTATGCTACTGAAGTCAAAAATCCAAATTCACAAGAGCTACAAGAAGCTTGCTGAAGAACCCTGCTGAATGCATTAAACCAAGAGGCATTATCTATGCTGGGTTTAAATGAGTTTTTCTTTATTTTAGACAGCCTACATGACAAGTTTTTAAAAACCAATGCCTCCACTCCAATTAATTCAGGGTCAAAATAAATCAAATTAAGCTCAAGATGGCATCAGTCCAGTTTTCAAACAATGCTGAGTCATGATGTTTTGTTGATGAATAAAGAACAGCAGCCAATTATGATGATGATAGATGATCCAGAAGGGTTGGTCTCTTGTTACTGTTAAGAAATTAATGAGAGTTAGCCTATGCTTGTACCAATTCCTTATGTCATCATTAAATATTCACTCTCTTAAATGTTCTCCCTTATTCAATCTGAGTTGCCACGTTTATCAGGCACACAGAAAGCGCAAGGAAATTGCTGTTGCATCTTTATGCAAGCTAGAGAGCAAAAGTAGTTGTTCCCAGCCTATCAGCAGATGCTTAACATTCCGAACTTGCATCTCAACTCCTTCCCTAAGGCACTGCTTGAGAGGGTACCAGTCTTGATTAGCACCCTTTCATTCACGGAAAGGGGGTAATGGCTTCAACAGCCATATCAAAATACAGCCAATAAATGTTTTGGTTTGATATTAAGCGAAGTGCGGTGGTCAACCAAGCTTTACTCAGAGTAGACCTACTGAAATTAATGACCGATTAAATACCTCCCAAGATTTAAATCTAGCAACAGCGGGGTTTTTTTAAAAAAAAATCTAACAATCCATACCATTTGCATTTTCTGTTCTTTCCCCTGCCCACCTGAATGATCTGCTCTTCTATTTAAGCCATTGGCAGGAAAGCCTCAACTTAGAAGGGCAGAAAATGCATATGCTAAGCTGTATGGAAGACTAGTCAATAGCTCAATAGTTTGTCTTCTATAAGCATTCTTAACTGAGTAATGAAAGATAATTTTTTTAATGGAACTCTGGGGAAATCTAGAAAGTTAAACTAAGAGGCTATTGAACTTGTTCACACACGAACCGAGAATCAAAAATAAGCAACAAGGTAACCTAGTTTGTAGAAGACACCAAATTATTCAGGATATTGAAAACCCAAACTGCAAAGAAGTTGAAAAGGGATCCCTCCCTCCCTCCAAGCTAGATGAATAAGCAAAAAAATAAAGGACAATGAAGTTCAGAGTAAGACTTAAAAAACACTGCATTCAGGGCAAATAACCATCCCAGCTTCATACAAACTGATGGGAGAGTAAATTGGCTGTGACTAGCAAAGGATGTGTCCTCTTGAGTTGGAGTGGATAGTTTTGAAGTACAGAACTTCAGAACTTCCAGTATCACTCTAGCCTTAAGAATTGAGGGTGCAGCCTCACTCACAAAGGTGTACAAACCTCTGGTTGCACAATCTCAAAAAGGATACTACAGAGCTAGGAAAGTTGATAGAAAAGGCGGTATCATTTGGGCTTTTCTTTTTTTTCCCCATGGAAAAAGCAGGAAAGATGTTAGAATTTCAGCGAGATGAGTGAATGGCGTGGAGAAAGCATATTTATTTTTTCTTCCTCTTACAGCACTAGTGCTTGGCCACACAATTCATCAGCTGTATGCAGACAAAAGCTACTACTTATAACACTATGAAATTTTCTCCTACCAGATATTATGATTAAAAGCTTAGATGGCTTTTCAGGCATGTCCAAAGTCTATTTGGGGGGCCTAATCCAGCCCCATGCTAGTATATGTCCTTGGGTAAAATCCTAAAAAAGTGTTTTTTTAAAAAAGCTCCACAACTTCAATCCTAAAAAAAAGCTGGTCGGCTCTCACACATATTCACTTCATCAAATCTGGCCCTCTTTGAAAAATGTTTGGGCACCCCTGGATTAGGTGAACTCCTGAAGCAGAGATCAATGGCTATTAAGATGCAATTAGGTAAGTCAAATCTCCAGGTTCAGAGGCAGGCTGCCACAGAACACAAGTTGCTGGGAGAACAAGGGCTGTTCTCTCATGTACCTGGCTGGTTAGTTGAAAATGCTGGACTAGATGGACACAGGGTTTCGTTTCTGCAGCAAATCACCCCATTTATCAGCAAGCAAAATTTAAAACCGCACAAGATTTTAATCTTGGCAAGTTCTCTCGGGAATGTATACTTACACATTTCTCCATTTCTAATCCATCCTTAAAGAAAATCATATAAGGAGTGATACCATCCTCACGGAAATCCAGCAACGCCACCATTCCATCTGGATTCATGTTCTCGCCTACAAAAAACTTTCAGAAGAAAAAAAAATCTGTTGATGCAAATAAGTTCTAAGAAAGCACTAATATTTGCTCACATAACAATGCACTTTTCCTTGGCTCAAGCATCAGGCACTTCCACAAAATGCCAGTCTTAAAACAAGCAGCAAAAGCTACTTCACAGTATGCAAGTACCGAAAATATGTCACAAAAAAGAGATGAAGCTTTGGAACTTACCTGGTAATTTTTGAAGTTTGCAAGGATATGTTTGACTTGTTCAGCTGCTCCAGTCATGAACGGCTTTACTCTCTCTGGCTTTGTTTCCTCAAGTCTTGCTTTGATTCTAGGGGAAGAACAACAACAATTTGAACACCTGCAATTCAACTTGACAAGTTTGAGGATTGTACCCAAAGGTTTCTAATAGCTGATCTGAAAGGAAAACACTGCATTGCTTTTTACTGCTCCCCTGCATGGATAGTGCTTTATTTTACCTGCCAGTTTTAAATTCTATTTCTTGGGAACATTTTTATTATACATTATACACAAGGCCACATAAACTGACATGGTAAAATATGCCAGCAGATTTCTGTATGTGCTTCCATTGAGGCAACAGTAAAATAGCAGAATAGACAATATTGTATCGAAAGAAGGGGTTGCCTTTGGCCCAGATATCTGGCTTCTAAATATAAAGCAACATCCTATCTGCAATACAGAGCCTTAAATACTCCATGAAGCTACAGCAAAAAGCACAGCCACTGATCAGTTCTGCCAATAACCAGGATCTTTTGGTTGCACCTCTCTTTGAGTTGTTTGCATCCCAGCTGGTCCTTACTGGGAATTTTAAGAGAAAGTGATCGTGTCGCCTTGGATTTCATGATACAGGGAAAGGGAAAACTGAGTGCAATCGGTTGTAGACTTTAAGAAGGCTGATTTCTGGATGCTTAAGGAACTACTGCAGGCATAGGCAAACTCGGCCCTCCAGATGTTTTGGGACCACAACTCCCATCATCCCTGACCACTGGTCCTCTTAGCTAGGGGTGATGGGCGTTGTAGGCCCAAAACATCTGGAGGGCCGAGGACTTCCGGGTTGGCGCGATCCGGGAATGGCGGATTCCCTCCGAGCTCCGGAGGGAATCGGCTCAGCGGTGGATGGGTCTTTGCCGTGCCGGCGACACGGGGACCCTTAAAAACCGCAGGTGCAGATGCCTGCGGACTGAAGACTCGGCGGGTGCCTTAAGCGCCCCCCCTGATTCGCGAAGAGCCTTTTTAAAGGCTATGGAGGGGATACGGGGGACGGCGCGGCACTGAGAGTCGATCGCTACCGCTGCTGAGCGAAGCCGCGAGCCATAACTGGAGAGCGCTGACTTCCTTCCTTGAAATTCGGACTGAAAAAAAAAGAACCCGTGAGTAATTTGGAACTGAGCTTTAAAAACTTTTACCTTTTGAATTTGAGACGACCGGGGGGTGTGCCAAAAGGAAGTCCCCATCCCCCCCCCTTGCAGACGATCCAGAGCAACGATATAAGAGCTAAGCTGGAGTGCCTACCCTGTAAAGGGTGAGTTTTAAAAAAGACAGTAACTTCCAAGATTTGGAAAAGTAAATTTAAGCAGGAGAGTGGAGTGTTGGAAGAGTTTTTGTTTTGTGGTAAACAACCCTCCCTCCCGAGCCCGGGAGCGATCTGCTTTGGAGCCTGTATAGAGGAGCAGAATTTGACAGCTGTCAAAGCTGTCAAATGGACTGTTAATACTGAAAAAATTGCTACTTAAGACCTCTCCGGATAAAAAAGAGTTACAATTGAACTAAAATTTTGGGAAACAAAGAAACAATAATAGGACAGAGGATTGTTGGAGAAAAGACCATCCAGTAACCAGATTCCCTCTAGGGGGAATTCTGTGGAATTACAATGGCTGTGGGTGGAAAGATACTGAGAGAAATCGAAAGGATGTTTTCACTGGTGGGAACCTTACAGGAGCAGACTACAGCTATGAGTAAACAACTGACGACCTTGGATTTGGAAACAAGTAGCTCTGCTGAATGTAATGAGGATTTGAATGAGAAAGAACCCACAGCTGAATTTGAAATAATAAGCAAAGAAGAGGAGAAGACAAAACAAGAAAGAGAACAAGTTATGTGGGAAAATGCTAACCAGAAGCCGATATTTGGAGAATACAAACAAGGAGACCATTGGATGGAATCTATTCCAAGCCTACGAAAGACACAGAAGATGAAAGTGGAGGCCCTGGGAGTTTATGGATCTCAGGAACTCGAAATAAAGAAGTACAATTGGGGCCTCCACATAGACTTTGATTTTGACCATCATCAAGACTCAGGCCTTGTGGAAATTCCTCAGCAGTTGCTTATAAATATGGGAAGAGACTATGGACTGATTGGATTGAATGTTAATGAAATCTTTCGAGACTCGAAGACTGACAAAGAGGACTACCAACAAAACCGGCGGAGAGGGACTGAAATAGATTTGAGAGCCTCGGATGTGCGGAATCCAGGCTAAAAACTGTTATTTTGGACATGTCTTGGGAAAGGACGCAAAGCGGGGATGGGAGGGAGGGAAGCATAAGCTTAAATAACACTCAAGACCAGGGGTTTAGTAATAAGGAAATTACTTAAGAAAAAATGAGAAATCGAGGGAAGAGAATTGGGGTCCAACTTAGGGAAAACATAATTTTTGCTTCTATAAAATGACTAATATTAAGAAGGAAGAAATGCTAACTTGCTGACATAAACCTGGGAACAGGGATGCAAGGGAGGGGGTGGGGGGAAGTCAAGGACTAGGGTTAGAAAATAAGACTTTTTGGAACTATTCATGTTTGTTGTTGTTTTTATTATGTTTGTTTTGGTGTTATGTGTTTTGTTTTTGTCTTTATAAAATGTGAAAACCCAATAAAAATTATTATAAAAAAAAAAAAACAAAACATCTGGAGGGCCGAGTCTGCCTATGCCTGAAGTACCGGGTGAGATCTCATGGTCAAAAATAGTCAAGAAAAGGGAGCCCAAGATGAGAGTTTGTTAAAGGTGAAATAATGAAGGCACAAATGCAGACAATTCCAGAAAAAAAAGTGAGACACCCCTAAATAAACTTGTGTGGCTTTATAAGAAGCATACACAAGCTTGGTGGATCTGGGGAATGCTATGGACATAGTGTATCTTGATTTCAGTAATACTTTTGACAAAGTTCCCCATGACATTCTTGTGGAGAAGCTGTTGTGTAGCTGGTTGACTAACAGAACTCAAAAACGTATGAATAGTTCCTAGTCATCCTAGGAAAAAGTGACGTGGGGTGACAGAGTTCTATTCTGGGCCCACTGTTGTTCATCCTCTTTATAAATGACTTCGATGATGGAATTGAGGCGATCCACATCAAATTTGTAGATGATACCAAATTGGGAGGGGTAGCTAATGCCACAAAAGACAGAATTGGAATTCAAAATGACCTTTAGATTGGAGAATTGGGCGCAAAGTAACAAAATGAATTTCAACAGGGACAAATGTAAGGTTCTGCACTTAGGCAGGAAGAACCAGATGCACAAATTTAAGATGGGGGACACCCGGCTTACATGTGAAAAAGATCCAGGGCCCAACAGTATACTGCAGCATAGTGTCCAGATCAAGGGAAGGTATATCACTCTGACTATGGCAGAATGGGGGACGCGGGTGGCGCTGTGGCTAAAAGCCTCAGCGCCTAGGGCTTGCCGATCGAAAGGTCAGCGGTTCGAATCCCTGCGGTGGGGTGCGCTCCCGTTGTTCGGTCCCAGCGCCTGTCAACCTAGCAGTTCAAAAGCACCCCCGGGTGCAAGTAGATAAATAGGGACTGCTTACTGGCGGGAAGGTAAACGGCGTTTCCATGTGCTGCACTGGCTCGCCAGATGCAGCTTTGTCACGCTGGCCACGTGACCCGGAAAGTGTCTCCGGACAGCGCTGGCCCCCGGCCTCTTAAGTGAGATGGGCGCACAGCCCTAGAGTCTGTACCTTTACCTTTTTTATGGCAGAATAACACATGGAGTCATATGTCCAGTTCTGGGCACCACAATTTAAGAAGGATATTGACAAGCTGGAATGTGTGCAGAGGATGGCAACCAAGAGGATCACAGGTCTGGAAGCCAAGCCTTATGAGGAAAGGTTGAGGTATGCTTACATCAGCACTGCAATCACTATGTGCATTTGTTACCATATCAGAAATGTGGCCTCAAATTAACCTTAAGATTTAGGGTTCTCACTAGTAGCATTTTCCTTTTGACCTTGATGACTTAAACATGATGTACCAAACCTAGTATATTTAAGAGGACATCCTTCAGATATCCAATACTATAACAGGATATGTGGAAAGAAGCAGTATCTTAGCAAAATGTGTATGCAGGTGGTTATGGCTTTAAATTATAGATCTTTCAGAATAAGAGCACCATTGTAATCATCCCCACAACTGGATCCCAGCAGCCCATCTCCATCACAAGGGAGTGCTGCAACCTTATGGACATCTTCCAAGAGTGTCTGCTCTATAACCCTCGTCATAACTGTCTTCTAGCCTTGAAATGAGACACCAGGATAACTTACGCTTTCATGTAGTCCTTGATGTACTTCTTGTAAGACTCTTTAGTGAAGCTTGTTTCCTGAAGGTGGTGGTTCATTACAATGTCAACACCGGTGACAACGGTAGCCTCTGCCCCTTCACCATCTGGACCTTCAGCCGACGCATTTCCACCAATTAAAGCATCATCTATTTCACCTTCTTTCCTGCTCACCATCTAAACCATTCATTGGAGAAAAATACCACCACTGAAAAGCAAAATCTAATTGTAAAATGATCTGCTCCTGTTCGTTAATCTACTCAAAGCTTAAAAGCAGAGTTTTAAGTCCTGAAACTAGTTCAGCTATGAGCAAAGCTATCCAAGTGGAATTTGTCATCAAAGTGAGAATAAACTGCCCAGAGAATCTTAAATCGGGAAGTCTTTTTTTCAAGGTTTTCGAAACACACACACACTAAACCTGCTACTTTTTACTTCTTCCCATTAAAATTAAGGGATTTTAAAACACCACGCCTCAAATTACTCAGTCTGGATGTCGCCATTACCACTGTGGAGGCTTAATGGATGTGTCAGAGTTTATCTTGCAACCTAGCCCCTCTCAAGTCACTGTGACATCTCTGCTATAAAGGTGACCCATATTTGCATGGTGACGCATAGATTATGAAAGGCTAAAGCATGGATCTCTCCCACTGCAACTGTGCAGACCAAGACATGGTCGTTGCACAGTAAATGTGAGCTTTGGTTACTTTATGACTTCATAGAAGTGGCTGAAATTTCCCAGTTTGTCTCAGGTGTTGCCAATTTACCCCCCCCCCCAATAACAGAAGTTGATCGAGTGCCTGTGAAGGGTAGCAACTGCTAAAAGAAGGGCCCTCATGGTACCAAAGCACAGTTGAACTATACTATGGCGAGGGTTCGAACCCCACCCCACCTACATAAAACGAGCAGATTTACAAACAAAGCCTACCTTCCCTTCCACTTCCAGGCAGAGTCCGCTGGCCACTTCTTTGACCTTGTAGATGTCCGAGAACATCTCGTCTTCTGCGGGCGGAGGAAGGAGAGCGCGTGAGGGGGGCTTCCCATGGTCGGCCGGCCGTTCTCCCTCCCCCAAACCCCACCCTCCTCTCAGGGGTCGCCCCTCTTTCCCTCCCTCCCGCCCTTCCGCTCCAGGCCTTGCCGGGCCCCAGAGGTAGATGCGGCGCCGCCGCCGCTTCCCGGAACGGGAAAAGGCCTCGGGAAGGCTGCGCCGGAAGCCAAGAAGGGAACAACGCCGGAAGCGCCGCCAAAGGCCTCCAGCCCCACGGCCCCTTCGCCAGCCCCGCTCACGCAAGCGCGGTAGCCGCGGCAAAAAGACGCATGCGCAGTGAATAGAATGCCGGGGGGGCGCCAGCCTTCGCTCGCCCCCCCCCCGCCCCGCGAACCAGTCTCCCTTCCCCCTCTCTTCTGTGCCGCGCAGGCGCAGTGCAGCGGGAGGGCGCGCGAGGTGCCGAGCCCGGGCCGCGGAGCCGCGCAAGCGCAGTAGGGCGGCGCTGTGGGGGCTCCGCGGGGGGCCCGACCTCGACGGCGCTGAGGGAGATTCGCTTACGGCTGATGCAGTCGCGGTAGATGATCATGGCTGAGGCGTCGTCGGGCGGCGGTGGGTCGAGCGGGCGGGCGGGCGGGCGGCCTCGGGGAGCGGAGCGGCTGGGCGGCGACTCCCGGCGAGAGCAAGGAGCGAGGCGGAGAAAGGCCGAGGCGGCGCTGCCACTGAGCTCATATAGCCAGCGGGGCACGTCCCTGCCATCCGTGCGTCACCAATCCCTGCGCTCCCCGCCACGCACGGAGCTGTGACGCAAGCGCGCCCGCAGGCCGCCGGCCCGCCTCCCCGCGCGCACGTAGAGGCAAGAACGGGCAGAGCTGCTCTCGGCGGGCTGGAGGTAGAACTTCCCGGTTCCTTCTCCTCCCGCCACCACCGCCCATAGGAAACAATGCGGCTGCGGTTTCACAGCAGCTGGTCCTCGCTGAAACTGAAGCCAAGAGAGGAGAGGAGACCCTGATTTCAGCCTTAGAATCATAGAATCATAGAATTGGAAGGAGTTCCAAGGGTCATCTAGTCCAACCCCCTGCAATTCAGGAATCTCAACTAAAGCATTCATGACAGATACTGTTGTTGTTGTTTAGTCATTTAGTCATGTCCAGACTCTTTGTGACCCCCCTGGACCAGAGCACGCCAGGCACTCCTGTCTTCCACTGCCTCCCGCAGTTTGGTCAAACTCATGCTGGTAGCTTCAAGAACACTGTCCAACCATCTCATCCTCTGTCGTCCCCTTCTGCTTGTGCCCTCCATCTTTCCCAACATCAGGGTCTTTTCCAGGGAGTCTTCTCTTCTCATGAGGTGGCCAAAGTCTTGGAGCCTCAGCTTCACGATCTGTCCTTCCAGTGAGCACTCAGGGCTGATTACCTTCAGAATGGAGAGGTTTGATCTTCTTGCAGTCCACGGGACTCTCAAGAGTCTCCTCCAGCACCAGAATTCAAAAGCATCAATTCTTCGGCGATCAGCCTTCTTTATGGTCCAGCTCTCACTTCCATACATCACTACTGGGAAAACCATGGCTTTTACTATACGGACCTTTGTTGGCAAGGTGATGTCTCTGCTTTTTAAGGTGCTGTCTAGGTTTGTCATTGCTTTTCTCCCAAGAAGCAGGCGTCTTTTAATTTCGTGGCTGCTGTCACCATCTGCAGTGATCATTGAGCCCAAGAAAGTAGAATCTCTCACTGCCTCCATTTCTTCCCCTTCTATTTGCCAGGAGGTGATGGGACCAGTGGCCATGATCCTCGTTTTTTTGATGTTGAGCTTCAAACCATATTTTGCACTCTCCTCTTTCACCCTCATTAAAAAGTTCTTTAATTCTTTAATAATGACAGATACTATCCAATCTCTACTTGGAAACCTCCAAGGAAGGAGCATCCGCCACCTCCCGAGGGAGGTCTGTTCAAACAGCTCTTCCTGTCAGAAAGGTCTTCCTGATATTTAGTTGGAAACTCCTTTCTTGTTACTTGAATCCATTGGTTCGGGTTCTACCTTGTCTGGAGCAGCAGTAAACAAGCTTGCTCCCTCCTCCATGGGACAGCCCTTGAGATATTTGAAGATGGCCATCGTATCTCCTCTCAGTCCCCTCTTTCCCAGGCTAAGCACACCCAGATCCTTCAACCGTTCCTCATAAAGCTTGGCTTTGTTATAAGAATTTTAAGGTCTCAAATATAGAATATTCATAAATGCACACATATCTAAATATATGAACCATGTGTCTGAAATAGTATGGGAAAGCAATCCTGAAGCCATTTTGACTCTTCCAATGACCTCAAATACTCTGCAGTAAATCCTGTCTTAAGGGCGTATTTTTGTATGAATAGGGTGAGCCTGTGACCTGGATTCAGGAACTAAAGTATTAACCATAACAAAAGAATGGCCAGGCTGCCCGGGTAATGCAATCAGTGACCATTATCAGGAATCCTGGCGGGCAGGATTTCTGCTGTAAACCACCTGCTTCTGTGATGTATGTATGATGTATTGAGGGGTGGTCTTGGGCTACAGGGTGGGCAACTTCAAACGTCTATACAAGGGCTTGTGCACCATTGTTCAGGGTTCTTCTCTCTCCTCTGTGTGGTGAGTGGGGACCCTGTTGCAACAGTTCCTTAAATAAAGATCAGGCTTACTAGCCACTTTGCTTCTCAATATACTCTGGTTGACCTGTGTTTTCTCCTACCGATAGTGAACCTACTTAAGGACTCTATATGGGCTCCATAATACCCCATAAGGGAAAGGGAGCAGTTTTTCTTATAACTTCTAGCTCCTAGACCAGGGGTCTGCAACCTTTAAGACAAAAAGAGCCACTTGGACCCGTTTTCGAAGAAAAAACAACTGGGAGCCGCAAAACCATTGCGACATTTAAAACAAATATAACACTGCATATATTGTTTCTTACCTTAATGCTATATATACAGGATCGTAACGCACGCACCGCGACGTCACAGCCAGTACAGCACCCGCCACAGTGGGGAGTGTCGGGGCGCACAATGCGCCTCCTCCCCTCGCTAGTATCCGCCCCAGAGCCGCGGCAAAGGTGTAAAAGAGCCACATGCAGCTCCGGAGCCGCGGGTTGCAGACCCCTGTCCTAGACCCTTGATCACCCTAGTTGCACTCCTCTGCACACATTCCAGTTTGTCAACATCCTTAAATTGTGGTGCTCAACTTGCCCCGTGGGTGGGCCAACCCTGCTGAGCACCTTAGTTTACAACGCACAGTCATAATTCCCAGCAAGCCTCAAACTACAGTGCCCAGAATTCTTTGAGGGAAAGAATATTCCTTAAAATGTGCTTGAACGTTATATTGTGTACACAGCCATAGAGTCTGCATGCAGTCCTATCCAGCTAATTTCTATCTGAAATCAGGTCACCCTATGCTGGTGTGGTCACTCTACATTTTATGCTGATGTGGCACACAAAATTTCCAGCTGCTCCTCTGCAGGGTTGTCAAACAACACAGGAGTCCAACTAGGGTAACTGTTTGGCAACGTCATAATTTGTACCTTTGCACCATTCCCTCCCTCCCTGGTTGGGTGATGCTTAAAACAACATCACCCTGAGTTCCATGATGGAAAAAATGTGGGATAATATGTAATAAAATAAGTAAGTAAATAAATCATTATTCCATTACTGTACAATTTATGCATATTTTTGTGTGGTTCTTTCTATGCAGTAGAACTTTTCCATGGCTTTTGTCCCCAGCTTCTCTCTTTACTTAATTCACTGACACTGATCCTCCAAGCGGACATGCTTAGAATCAGGCTGTTGGGCCACATTCCTATACCCAAGTACCTGGGAGTAAGCCCCATTGAGTAGACAAGCATAAAACATATAACTGCAAAAATAGCAACAGTACTACAAACATGTATTTGACCCACCAACCAAAAATTTGGCTGAACAAGATTCAGTACAGTGCTACCTCTGGTTGCGAACGGGATCCATTCTGGAGGCCAGTTCGCAACATGAAAATAGCGCAACCCTCAGCATGCGCAGGTTGCGATTCAGTGCTTCTGCGCATGCCATCATTTTGTGTGTCTGTGCATGTGCAAGCAGCGAAACCCGGAAGTAACCCTTTCGGTACTTCTGGGTCGCCACGGGATGTAACCTGAAAGGACGTCACATGAAGCAAACATAACATGAGGTATGACTACTGATAAGCTTGCAAACCACATTCAGTAAAGAGAGGGCACATCAATTATTATTTTCCCTATTTATTATTTAAATTCTATACATGCTATTTCAGTGTTCACTGAGTGATCTCCATCACTCTTCAGTCTCATTATTTGTATGATTTTGATCTATACCTATTTCGTTTGAATTCTATCAGGGGACACGGGTGGTGCTGTGGGTTAAACCACAGAGCCTAGGACTTGCCGATCAGAATGTTGGCGGTTCGAATCCGCACAACGGGGTGAGCTCCCGTTGCTCGGTCCCTGCTCCTGCCAACCTAGCAGTTCAAAAGCATGTCAAAGTGCAAGTAGATAAACAGGTACCGCTCCGGCGGGAAGGTAAACGGAGTTTCCGTGCGCTGCTCTGGTTCGCCAGAAGCGGCTTAGTCCTGCTGGCCACATGACCCGAAAGCTGTATGCCAGCTCCCTTGGCCAATAAAGCGAGATGAGCGCCGCAACCCCAGAGTCGGTCATGACTGGACCTAATGGTATATTTTTGGTATATCAGTATATTTGTTAATGATTTTCCCCCCCACACAACCACTCGTATGTTTTTTTTAAGCTGTTGTTATTTTTAATCTGGAAGCCGCCTTGAGCCCCTTTTAGGGGTAAATGAATGAATGAGTGAGTAAGTAAGTGTGTGTTATTACAATTCGGTAACTCGTTCTCACCCATTCACCTCCCACCGTAATTTTGGACCTAAGCCACGTTGACGTCAGACACATACTCAGGGGGAGGGGGAGAGGAAAGGCGGGGCTTCTCCGGCGCTGGTGGACGGAGCTTTTCCCATTGGCTGAGCTGCGAGGGACGCTGGCGGACGCGCACGCCCCGCCTCTTCGCTACGCACAGAGAGAGAGAGAGAGAGAGAGACAGACAGACTGACTGAGACTGGCGCATGCGCGCTTGCGGGCTTCTCTTCGCTCGCCCGCCCTGCTCTTTCGGCGCCGACGCTGCGGCGGTTCGTCGTCTTCCGCCCGGCCAGGGGCAGAAGCGGGAGGCGGCTCAGGTTTGGCTCCTCTCACGCCGTCCCTTGTGGACCTCTCCGGGGTGGCCGGGCTGAAACGCCTGAGGGGGGGAGGGGCGGATAATGTGAGGGGGAGGCAGTCTCTTCTTTCCCGCGCTTTTCTGTGAGGGGAAAACTCGCTTTTTTTCCCTGGGGGGGTACTCGGTCCATGGGGCGGCCAAGCCTCCCCTACACCCCGAACACGTCAGGAAGGCGGAGAACTTGTTGTTATTTGGTAAAAGTTATAAAGCAGACACGCAACAAGCAGCCGGCGGGGGGGGGTCGTTGCCCGCCCCCCCTTTTATCAAGTAAATGGTTATAAAATTTCAGGGTGAACGCACATAGCAGACGCACGCTTCGACCTTCGTAGCCTCCCAAAATTTAGGATTTTTTCCCCTCGAGAAAATTGCATATTATTTTAGCCCGCAGAACCATCCCCCCCACCCCAAAAACACACGTCTTGGCTCTCCTAATGGATTATTTCCTCTGCAGAAGGAGATCTCTTGGAAGAAATAATAATAATAATAATAATAATAATAATAATAATAATAATAATAATAATAATAATTTATTATTTATATCCCGCCCAGCTAGGAATGACCTTTGGATATCTAGAGAGCCAGAGATGTGCCTAATATAATAATAATAATAATAATAATAATAATAATAATAATAATAATAATAATAATTTATTATTTATACCCGCCCATCTGGCTGAGTTTCCCCAGCCACTCTGGGCGGCTCCCAATCAAGTGTTAAAAACAGTACAGCGTTAAATATTAAAAACTTCCCTAAACAGGGCTGACTTCAGAAGCCTTTCCCCATAGTTCTTTCCCTTAGCAAATCCTGCCTTAAGGGCATATTTTGTGCATGAATATATATCCTGTGACCTGGATTCACAGACTCAAGTGTTTACCATCACAAAAGAATGGGCCAGGCTGCCCAGGTAACTCAACCTGTGTAACGTCATCAGTGACGTACATTTGATGCTTTTAGGGTGGCCTTTGGCTAAGGGGTTGAGCAACGCCGAAAGTCTTTGTAAAGACCCAAGAATTACCAACGATAGAAGAATGGCAGATGAAGAGTCCGCGACCAGAAGGAGGAGGAGTATGAGGAAGAGTGGATTAAATTCAGTGATTACTTAGTTAAATATGTTAAGTTAAATTAACTGAAAACAACTTGCAGATACTTAATTGGCTTAGGATTTTATTTATGTTTAGTGCTGAATTAATATGTTTAATTTCATAATGTGAAGATCTAAGGATGTTAATGTTTAAGTTAAATTTTATAAGAACGGTGATTTGGAAAACCGTTAAAAGGATATGCAATGAAATTCAACCGAGGGGAAGCAAGGAAGTCACTTAACAATGTTAATAAGTGTACTTTTCAATAAGGCTATGATTTATGTTTGTTTGTCTTATGTGTTTGTTTGTACTGTTGTGAAAACCAATTAAAAAAATTGGGGAAAAAGAAGAAAGTCTTTGTAAAGAATATTAAAGATTCCTGCACACTTTGTTGTTCTCCTTGGTCTCTCCCACCTCCTTGCAGGGCAGGGAAACTGCTGCAACAGGAAAATAGAGATCTGCATTGCTTTCCACTGGATCCTGCCTCCACCCATTCTTCTCTGACTGATCATGGACTTAGGGGACTCATCAAGTCCCTTTGGGGAGTTAGGTAGCAAAAGCCAACCCCCCATTTTTTCTACAACGAAAATAAATAAAAATACTTAACTGACCAGTTGCATAGGAGATAGCGTGGTTCTGCCACCCAGCATAAATCCTGGCTACTCCCATGCCCCCAGCTACAATTAAAGCCAAGGGGGGAATGTTTGAGTGCACACATGGCACTATTACATGTGCTGCATGATTCCCGTTTCCCACATTTGTATGTTTAGTGTGGCAGCGGCTGCACTCTGGAACTCCCTGCCTGCTGACATTATGCAGGTGCCAAAGTCGGGGTCATTTTAATCTGTATGAGTATTTTTAACTTTTGTATGTCTTAAAGTAGGGTTGTGGGTTTTATTATTTTATTTTACTGTATTCCTGCATTGCAGAGGGTTGGACTAGATGACTTTCGTGGTATCTTCCAACTCAACAATTCTATGGTTCTATGTTGTATCTTTTTAGTAAACGGCTTTGAGGTTTCCTTACAATCAAGTGGTGTTCAAATTTTATGAAATAAATAAAAAACAACAACAATAAACATTCCACCTGCTTCTAAAAGGCCACAGATAATTATTCAAGGCCAAAGGCCTGGTTACAATGGAAGTATTCAATTGTAAATTAGGGGTTAATAAATTCTGGTTGCTTCATGCTTATTTATTTTATTTACTTACACTTAATACATAAATTTAATATACCAGCCTTGTGTTATGCTCTGGAGGGCAGGACACAAACCAATAGCTTGGAACGGTCTCCCTCAAGAGGCTGTGGGCTTTCTTCCTTGGAGGTTTAAAGTAGAAGTTAGATAGTCACTGATGCTTTTGTTGAGATTTCGGCATTTCAGGGGCTTGGACTAGATGACCCTCAGGGTCCATAATCCCTGTCTGTTCCCTATCTGACTGACAAGACCTATCTCAGCCCTAACCGAACCCTATCTAACAGTTTTAACTGCCAGGGTCTAACTTTTAACTCCCCTTCCTCCTGACTGGATGGAACACTACCCAGCTCTGATTAGTTTCTAGATCTACAGGAGGCTGACCCAAGGTCCACCCATCACAATATGTGATTGAAGTTTAGACCCTGTAGCAAAGGAAAATATTTGGGAACTGTATACAACTCAGAAAAGAGGTGGAAAAGTTTTGTTAATGGGTGAATTTATTTATTTTTAATTTATTAAATTAATATTCCATCCTTCCTCTGAGAGAGTATAGGGGGTTCCAGTATAGACCAGCAGACACAGAAATGGGTTCCAATATCTAAAAACAATGATGGCATCATAACTATTCTGAAATAATCTGAGGGTGCTCCCAGATTGGAATTCATTGTCGTATTGGTGCTCGTCATGCCATGCATGTAAATTTTGCAGTGTTCACACTACACTGCGATTAAAATATAAGCGCACCCACCCACACATCAGATTTCCTTTGCAATGAAACATAGTCCTGGAAATTTCCACGTAATTTCCACAATAATATGTAAAGGAGCCAGAAGTTAGCTCTGGGATTGTACACAAGTTCCTTAGTATCTCATATATATATTTTTTTAAATAAAATTTTATTAAGATTTTTACATTATAAAATAGAAAAAGAAAAAAATACAAAATACGAAATAAAAATAGTTAAAAACAATAAATCTTTTCATCACATTATTTTTCATTTACTTGTTTCTCGGACCTCCTCATACCTCCCTTTTTTGTATTCCAGTTCAATTTATTAGCTCAGCAGTTTCTTTCCCTCTTTATTCTACCCAGATCTTTAATCTTAAATTATTATAACCTTGAATTTACACTTATAAAAAACCATTTTTTCATATTCTTTTATACTATTTCAGCTAGAAACCACTTAATTTCAATCCAACATCATTCTAACATTCATTAATTTTACAATGTCTCTGTAAATAATCTTTAAATTTTTTCCAGTCTTCTTCCACTGACTCTTCTCCCTGGTCTCGGATCCTGCCAGTCATTTCCGCCAATTCCATGTAGTCCATCACCTTCATCTGCCATTCTTCCAGAGTGGGTAAATCTTGAGTCTCCTTAGGATCTCATATTGCCCACCCCTGCATTAATTATTGTTCAGGACTTTCCTTTCCAATCAAATTTTCCTCTTGCAGGAGCGCTTTTATATTTAGCAAATGCCACCAGGTGGCGCTGTAATACACCATCTCTAAACAAACCTAAAAATTACAGCAAACGTAAATACTACAGATATGAAAACTACAAGATTGTTAATTTTAATTTTTGTATTTTATAATGTCAGAGTGTTTCACTAAATTACCTTACTTTTTCCTCTTTATAACCAAAGGTTAAATAACAAAACAAGTTATGTGGTATTTCGGATTTTTGGGAGAATGGACCACTTTGTCAGATGTATGAAGTTTTCTCCTTACTTGGCAAACCATATTCATGGTCACGGACATCAAAATAGTAAAAACAGGCAACAGTGATGCATCAGGTTTCTACGCATAGTCCAAATTATTTGAAGAAGGAAAGTACTGGATCAAAACATTTCTTGCATAAAGTTATTTCTCAGTACATTTTTCTTATGTACTCAGTGATTTTCTCACTTTATCAGTTTTCCAGTCTTAAGTTCAGTTATTCACATTTCTATATCAGTTTGCATTTTTTTAAAAAAAGAAAGGTCTCATGAAAATTCATCAATATTAAAGAGATCCCTCCCCTTAAAACAAATATGCAAATCCTATTTTTCCTAACTATGTTTTTTTAATGCTGCTTTTGCTAATATTTCCTTTTTATGCACACTTTACTTGGATGGAGAACTTCATTGCAAAATAGGGAGAACTGTGAATTTCAAAGGACTGCTGTGTTTTGGTTCGTATCTTGTTTTGAAAAGTGAATTAAGTTGGTTTGCCTTTAAATGTGAAATGAGTCAAATTTCTCCCACATTCGCTAGTGGTGAGTCAATCACCCCAGATCATTAATCCAAAATGTTTATTTAATTATAACAAAATAACTCCCCATTGTAGGATCAAACTGTTTTTGAAATACACGAATGAGCCACTGGAACACTTTGCTTTCTCTGATACTGTTGAGCCACAGGAAAAATTAGTTGGGCGGCAACACACGCTCAGGCACTTTCTGCAATGGCTTCCCATTTCTGGAACACTCCTCCGGGAAGCTCACTTTAGGCACCAGGCAAAAACATCCCTTTTAAACCAGGCCTTTGCCTTTCAACCATCTATGGCCTTTTTGTATGGGTGGGATGTTTTAATGTAGTTTTACATATGCAAGTTTGAATCGTTTGCATCATCCTGTGTGGCTGAGACATAGACAAAACTTCCCTATCACTTGAAAATGCAGTATTTTTCAATGGAGGTAACTTATTTGGGTGGAAGTTATCAAGTGATGATTTGTTAAATGCAAGTGTTAACCAGCCCTAGAACCAGTAGCGATCAGTGGTGTGGTGCTGGCAAAATGGGGTTTGCTCCCATGCCTCTTCAACGCTGAGGGTTGCTCCTGGTTTCTGAGAGGCAGAGGTGAGGTGCGGGGAGGTCAGCGCAATGTGGTTGAAGCCACATTGTATATGCACCACACTGATCTCCTATGCCTTGCTCCACTCTTAGGAACCAGCAGCAAACATATAACACTTATTGAAACGAGTAGGAGTGTGACAATTTTTGAGCTGCCTCCAGCTTCCATTCACTTAAGAACACCTGAACATTATAATGTATCTTTAAATGAGGAGTCATTTACAGGATCGCTGTTGATTCCCCCCCACCCCAAGCTGGCAAGGCTCATTGGACAGCAACAAGAAACTGTGTCTTTAGTGTCACCAGTCCAGTCGAGGGACGCTCTGCCAACAGAGATTCAGCAGGCGCCTTCTGTTCTAACCTCTAAATGCCTGTTGAAAACATTTCTATGCTGCCAGGCTTACACTGGCAATTGAAATATCCCTTTGCAGTATTTGATCTCTGGTTTTCCATTTTTTTCTGTTTTCATTTTATGGTTTTATGCCTGGTTGTTGTAAAGGGCTCTAATTTTTATGAATGGCGGTATATAAATGTATTTATAATAAAAGAGATATTCAAGATTGTCTCATCTCTTGCATTCATCTATCTCTCCAAGAGAACTATGACATGAGTTGCAAAGCCTTGCAAACCCCCAGTTAGTGACTTTCCATCCAGCCCCCTCTCCAGATGCATGGCTATAGGTCCTTCTGGGACCGATGTTACTATGAGGCATATTGAGCTTTTTGCCTCCGACAGTAGATTGGGGCAGGTAGTAGAAGGATTCTGCTGCTGCTTAAGTCCCTGATAGTTGCAGCTGCTTGGCTGGCACCAGTGGGTCACTTGTCTTTTAAGTGCTGTAGCTGTCATACAGAACCAGCTGCTCTGCCATTGGCATTCAGCTAGACCAGCCAGCAGCATTGGAGCAGGCAGAAGCTGGCTGTGCAAGGGAGAGGTCTTCTACAAGTCTCACAGGACTTTGGGGCGCTACTCTGTGACAATACAGTGGGTGCAATAAGCATTGACTGCTGCCACTCCGTGCGGGGGGGGGGGGGCTCTGTTGCAGGCGGCAAAATGGCTTGGGCTACATGTCTTTTCTGCACCTCTGAACTGACTGGAGTGGCACTTAAGATATGGCAGCTTTTCCTGATTTTTCCTGTGTTTTAAAAACAACAACCAGTAAGGCAGTAGACTGGATCTGTTGATTTTAACTGAATGTGTAAAGGATGTGCTATTTAAAAGTATTAAGTGGGTTTTATCTTTGTAAGCAAACACGTTTGACTGGACTAGCCTTCATAAACTATGAGTTGTGTGCTAATTAAGTCCTTACCCTGTAATGAAAGCTCATTTTTCAATAATATTTAAAGGTTCCATATTTTTAAAGGAGTTCAAGAAAGAAAGAAATGATCCATTTAAATGGGATATGACTTTATTCATCACTGCACTGATTTTCATGGAATTTCTCTCGCACACAGAGACAGAAGTTGTATATGCAGGATTTTAGTATTTCCTCTCCGGCTCCAACTTCAATTTGAAAGACTATAAAAGTTTGACTGGGTTCCAGTTGTGCATGGTTTGCTGGCCTCTGCTATGCAGCAGAGGCAAAGCAAGCCACATATTAACAGGCATGCTGTAAATCTTCAAGAGGAGTGTTTCCATTCTTTGAACAGAACCGAGTTGTAGTTTCAAATTCAGGAAGTCTCCAGTAAAGAGACCTATTTAATGTTGCATAGAAACCAGTGGCCCTTGCATGTGAACAGTGTGCAATTTGCTCATCCTTCTACGTAACAAGCTAGCATCAGCTAGGGCTGGCCATAGGTGGATGCTTACTAAGCTTGGAAGGCATGGCTGGTATGGAGCTGGATTGAGGTTTTGTGCCTCATCTGCCATGTCTTGTGATGAGCTGGATTCATCCCACCACGTCTTTTTCATTAGGCTCCAAAATCTGACTTTCCCCCCGGAAGACCCTTTGAAAACACACAGCACTTACCTTAATACACAGCTTGCTTGAGAAACCAGCCATATTTAAGTTTTAAATTAGTTTGCTTTGTTTTTATAAAAAAGTGCAGTATTGAAAGAAACAAGGAGCAATCCAACCAAACCTAAGCATTACCAGTTTGTAAAATATGCACAGTGCTTATCTTTGAGCTGATTGTGAACTTGTGAATGGATTATGTTTGAAATATG